GCCTACCGCAGTGCGCCTTATTTGCAGCGGGTGTTTTAGAGTGGAGAAAGCCACGTGGAGACCAGCAGATGACGTGGAGACGATGCGTGAAGAAATGCACAGAGCGATTAGGTAAAGTAGGTGTCCCGTCTTCCAGATTTACCTGCTCGGTTGGAGATAATGAACGATACGTCGACTAACCGACAGCATCTGCGTTCTTGCCACATTTTATATCGGATCAGAATGCCCAAAAGGTGTATGTTATGTATGGCAGCTTGTGAATCATGTTGACCAAAAGGTTCAGCTTCTCTACCTTCATCCAACTAGGCCCAATCCCTACCCACCTAATACATCGACATTTGATTCGTGTACACTGTGAACTTGGCAGCAACCAGAGAAGTTCGCTTCACTGATTGATGATGATGACGATGATGACTGTCATTATTATTATTATGCAAGCATTCCCCTTCAAATTCAGACTGTGCTAAAAAAGCGAAAATTCCGGAGAATGTGGAACGAGTTCGATCAATAAAAGTGCAATCGGATTTTTCGCTCGCATACCCTCGATCAACTTTGCTGCAAGCGACTTAAAAACGTTTTGCAAACAGATACTACCTGTAGTTTACCCCGAGATCTACAGACCCTGACAGCTGGAAANTGGAAATACTTCTTTGAATGAGAGTCGCCTGAGGTTCACAACCGGCGTAAGATCATGAATGCCAGCAAGCGACTTTATAATGTGGATTCTGTGAAGAAATACCCATGCACCCATGATGAATGTGTGCCCTGTAACTGCTTTATTGAAAGGATGTCTTTCCACCTGTATTGTATTGTATTGTTTTCGTGCACGAGAACCGTATAAGTCAATATCTTATTTGTTGGTTCTGAACGGTTCGGAGTGCACGTACTTTACTGCTTAGCAAGAACTAGTGATCATTAGATAACGAGGATCCGCAACTTTTCTACACTCCGGTGATTACATCATCGTGCAGCGTAATATCGTGAGGCGAACCTCACTGAGTACATTAGTATTCTGTATAGTGCCGAGAAATGTGAGCGCTTACCGTTTGTCCATTTGTGACAAGTTTTCGTTGTGGAAAGATGGCGAAAATGACAGCTTTTCTAACACTGCAATACTGAACTTGGAGGGGTCACAAAAATTTTGATAGACTCACAGGTGATCACCAGAAAACAACAGACGGATAGAAGAACAGACACGCTTCAATCCCGGATGTGTTATGATTTCGTCGCACTTCATTTTAACATATTTTTCAATAAGGTTAGATGCTTGAGGCATAAAGTTTTAACCAGTCAACGCTTCTGGGTCTCCCTATGTCAAAATTGAATATTTGACTTCTTGACCGACGAAACTAGATTGGCCCGATGATTTCCGAGTGAACTGTAAGTTTTGTATACACAGTGAAATCCGCCATTTGAACGATCAGAGAAACCTGAGGAAGTAACTCACCATCGTTTTCGAACTCCTCCATATCTTCATCCTTCTCACTTGCATCTTCGACTTCACCTGTGTCACCACTTTTTCGACAAGGCTTGGCAGTGGTGGGATGCTGAGAAATTCCTCTTTTTCTTTCCTTCGAGGAATCGTTGTTCACAGATGACTCCTTAACTGTTTCAGCCAAAGCGATCGCCTCGGCACCAGGGACAGTGAACGCCGGTGCCGCTTTTCCGAAAGATAGAGCAACACCAGCGTAACCACTATCGTTTAATAATTCCACCTGAGATTCAGTTGGTCTCCCGCGTTCTTTACGCGGTAGAAGCGATGGATTGATCTAAAGATTAATTGCAGTCAATAAAACTCCATGAACAATTAAAGGAACAATAAACAGCTTCGAATTTACAACGCAGAGCAGTTACTGATAGGCATCGGAAAGTTTTATGCGGTAAGAATTCATGAATGACGGTTTGTCAGGTAAGTGGTAAACAATATTTACAAGCTAAGTCCTAATATAACCATATTACAAATGACCGATGAAACACGGTGTTTATAGAGGCAAAACAGGAAACAACCCTGAGAATAATCGGGTATCTATGAAATAAAGCGCTAAGAAGAAAACACGCGGAGTTGCGGAAGCTCAGGAATATGTTTCTTCGAACATTTCAGTATAACAGACTGCTGGTAGGTGTGAACCTCATAGTTACCAGAAACTAATGCTCAATTGTGTTAACCGGCCACTGAAGCGATGGGACTTGAAGTGGGAAAGTGTATGAGGTCCCGAGAGGAGTGTATGATATTGATCCGAACAACCGAGAAGCTGCCTACTACCTAACTCGGATGACAGTGATAGGGTTCTATTAGACCTTAGCGTTTGAGACACGCTAGTGACAATGACAGATCATTTGACTTTTACTGCCTCAGTGGCTCGCATTGAGTGCACAAATATCATCCGGTATTACTACTATTTCAAAATTGAATGAATCCAGACAGTAAGCCAAATGCACAACAATCTACCAAAATCATCATACAGATAAATACATACAGATAAATACACTGATCGCTGCCGAAATCGCCATGCAAACAAGGTTGGTAGTAATATGTCGCGTGGACAGGGATTCGTCGTAATTTGAGGTAGGGGAAAGGTGAGCCCTGCATATATACCGTTTCAAGCATTCTGGCCTGATATGAGATGACAACGAGAACGCCACTGTTGTCGGTCCGCTGTCATATCCTTCAATGTCTCCAGCCAGCCAGTTGCAGTCTTTTGGATCCCACCTAATTGCTCTGTGTATTTCTTTATGCTTTTTCTCCCCGCCATCCATTGACCTCCATGTGGATTTCTCCACTCTAAAACACCCGCTGCAAATAAGGCGCACTGCGGTAGGCGACCATCGAACGTAGGCCAAACATGTCCTAACCAACACAGCCTATTGAGTTAACTCGATGCAATAGCGAGTTCCTGTTCAATGCATTCTCAAACACCAAATGACTTACTTCCAACTTACTAACCCGCTCGCTCCATCCTACTTGGGCTAGACAACGCAAGCATCGATTGCCGAAAACCGCCATACGACGGATGTCTTCTACTCGCAAATTCAACGTCTCACAACCATAGAGCAGAACAAAACGAACGGCCGCACAACAAACACGAACATTTAACTTCAGTGAAACGTCACACCGCCGGTACAGGTGCTTTCGTCCTGCGTACCCTGCTCGAACATGCGATCAACAGATGTCTTACTTCGACATTCCGGTTTAACTTCGTCATGGACGAATTACTGGAAAACGCACTAACCAATGTGTAAATAATTATGATAGGGAATTCGTTTTTATTAAATCCGTTTTTTATCTTTGGTCTTTAGAAGCGCTTCGCTGCTGCCGGGTCACACAAGCGTCGGACAGATGACTCGGAAT